GCCGCTATGGGCCCGCCCGGCCCCGGGCGCCGCGCCGCGCGAGCACCGGCCCAGAGCCAGGTGGGTGGGACTAGGCCGGGGTTGAGGGCCAGCTTAGGGGCGGAGGCGGGAGTAGGCCAGGGGTCCCGGGGAGCGAGAGCCGGGGCTGGGCCCTGAGCCGCGGGCCCTGGAGCGGGCAAGGCCTGCCTCCCCGGCGCCCTCGCCGGCGGACCGAGCGGGCAGTGTTGCCGAGGTGGAAAAGAGATCCTGTCTCCCCTTCACTGTTTCCCGCCACCTCGGCTGGGCCCGCGGCCTGTATTTGGGGGAGGGAGGGGAGGAAGATCGTTCTTCGCATCCAGACTCGCGATGGCCTGTCCGGAAGGGTCGGGCCCTGCCGCCTGCAGTCCCAAGGATGCGGACAGACCCTACCGGGCAGATTCGTTGACACGTCTCCCTCGAAGCCTGGCCCCGCGTCTCCAAGCCTGGTGATCCGGCGCTCGCACGTGCCCGCCCCAGGGCTGGGTGTTTTGATCTTTGGGCCCCCAGGGCTAAACCGTGAGCTTGCTCTTAGTCTCTGTGCCCTGGAAGGGGAATGGCTTTGGGCCATTATTGGCCTTAACCGGTGATGGCTGTCCCTGGCTATCCCAGCCGCCTTGCCAAACACCCTCAGAGTGACCTTGGGCAGGTCGTCTCACCTCTCTGAGCCTCGGTTTCCCTATTGGCACAATGCTGCTGACAATGACTGCTTTGAAAGGTAATTGGGAGGGTCACTGAGATGACTTGCCCAGGAGTGAGTGATGGGGGAGAGGGTCAGGTTAAAGTCCCAAAGTGCCTCTGTCTGGCTGCTCGGCCTGCTGCCTCGTGTTTGGTGAGACCCGGTGCTTCATTTGAATTTTGGTTTTCAGGACTGAAGCTACAAGATGGCTACCCAGGACCCTGGGGGCATTAGCCCCCTCCAACAAATGGTGGCCTCAGGCGCAGGAGCTGTGGTCACCTCCATCTTCAGTAAGAGCTGGGGATTGGGGCACACCAGAGTTTGGAGGTGACTTGGTCCTGGGGGAGGGGGCTGGGGCAGGGTGGTCCCTGAAAGGAGTCTTCAGACTTGTGTCCTCCCCCAGTGACACCCCTGGATGTGGTGAAGGTCCGCTTGCAGTCTCAGCGCCCCTCTGTGGCCAGCGGTGAGTGCCTGACCCTAGAGCCAATAGGGGTGATGTCTGGGCAAAACAAGGCTCTTCCAAAGATGGGGTTCCTGGGGCCACTGGGCCGATTGAAGGCCTGCCTTGTATTTCAGAGCTGATGCCTCCCTCCAGACTCTGGAGCCTCTCCTATGCCAAATGTGAGTGCCCCAAGTCCCTGGGACCCTGGGAGGGTACCGGAGAGGAGGCCCAGGGCACCAGGGGTTCCCACAGCCATGGACTAGCATGTGGAGCGCCTGTCAGCCACCCTTCTGTCCCGTGCAAGAACATGTACCCAGGGACCCCGGCCCCTGCATGTCCTCCTGGGGTGGGGGCTCCTGCCTCCCTGCCTGGTTCCAGGGCCTTGTCATCCTAACGCCCCTGCGCTTCCCCAGTGCCTTCCTCTCTTCCATCCACAGGGAAGTGCCTCCTGTACTGCAATGGTGTCCTGGAGCCCCTGTACCTGTGCCCAAATGGTGCCCGCTGTGCCACCTGGGTTCAGGACCCTACGCGCTTCACTGGCACCATGGTGAGGAGCAGCTGGGCCCTCAGCTGGGTGCATGGGCCTTCCCAGGGTATTTGGTGTGGTTGGGCAGCGGGTCCAGCAAAGAACTGATAGGCGAAGACGTGGAGAGGTCACAGTTCGGTTTGGGAAGGGCTTCCCAAAGGAGTTAGTGCCTCCTCAGGGTTTTGAAGGCTGAAGAGAAGTCCACCTGGAGCTGGCTGGGGTACTGCAGGTGTGGAGGCCTGGATCCCCGAGGGGCTAACTGCCTCTCAGCAGGAGCCAGGGCTGTGGGCAGAGGCCGAGGGATCGGGCAAAGGCCTGGCCGGGCCAGCCGCACCCCAGACCTCGCTCACATCCATCATGTTTTCCATGGCTGGTGTCCGCTTGGCCAGGATGCCTTTGTGAAGATTGTGAGGCACGAGGGCACCAGGACCCTGTGGAGCGGCCTCCCAGCCACCCTGTGAGTAGTCCAGTCCCATGTGTTACTGCCCCCGCCACCTGCCACCTGCCGATCCATCCCTTACTTCCTGTTGGCCGGCCTAATGGGAGGGGGGGCCTGCAAGGTTTGGGACCTCTGACTTGCCTGCTCCCCAGGGTGATGACTGTGCCAGCTACTGCCGTCTACTTCACCGCCTACGACCAACTCAAGGCTTTCCTGTGTGGCCGAAACCTGACCTCTGACCTCTACGCACCCATGGTGGCTGGAGCGCTGGCCCGCCGTGAGCACCACCCTGGCCCCTTGATCTCCCTCTGTCCCCGCGTGTGCCTGTGCCCAGCCAGTCTCCACTCCCAGCCTCTGCTAGCCCCAGGGTGGGAGGGATCTTCTAGGCCCTCGGACCCTGGAGCAGCAGCTGGGTGCTGCCATGGGCGACCTTGACCTGCCCTCTCCCCGCCATCACAGTGGGCACCGTGACTGTGATCAGCCCCTTGGAGCTCGTACGGACAAAGCTGCAGGCTCAGCACGTGTCCTACCGCGAGTTGGGCACCCGGGTGCGGGCAGCCGTGGCCCAGGGCGGCTGGCGTTCACTGTGGCTGGGCTGGGGCCCCACAGCTCTTCGGGATGTGCCCTTCTCAGGTAGGCACTTTGGGGTCAGGAGGTCTGAGGCAAGTCCGGACTTTCTGATTAGTGACCATGAAGTTACTTACCTTCTCTGAGCCTTGGGTTGTGTCTGAAATGGGCCCAGCAGGCAGGGCCCAATTTTCAGGTTTTCATGAGATACTCCTGTAGGGGGCCTGTTAGAGAGTCTGGCGCGGTGTGGACTGGGAGGGAGTGGGTGTCAGTGGAAGACGGGAGGCTGAGGGGTGCAGCTGACTGCCTCTCCATCTAATGAGTGTACCCCTCTTCCAGCCCTGTATTGGTTCAACTATGAGCTGGTGAAGGGCTGGTTGAATGGGCTCAGGCCAAAGGATCAGACATCTGTGGGCGTCAGCTTTGTGGCTGGAGGCATCTCAGGGACGGTGAGTTGACGAGGCTGGGGCTGAGGCCAGTGGAGGGGTGCTTGGGGGGACCTGAAGGTTGCTGAGACCATCTGGGAGAAGAGCTTCCGCATGGTACTGTGGAATCTTGACCCCCCCCCCCCCCCCCCAGACACCTGCGATGCTGGGGCTGGGGCTGGATCCGGGAATGAGGGCGAGCTCTTTCCACCCCACCAGGTGGCTGCTGTCCTGACACTCCCCTTCGACGTGGTGAAGACTCAACGCCAGGTCGCGCTGGGAGCCGTGGAGGCTGTGAGAGGTGAGGGCCTGGGCTGGTGCAGGTGGGGGAGCCCGGGCCTGCAAGACCTTACTGAACCAGCCTCTAACTGCAGTGAGACCCCCACGCGCTGACTCCACCTGGCTGCTGCTGCGGAGGATCCGGGCTGAGTCGGGCACCAGGGGACTCTTTGCAGGTGAGTGTGTGTGTGTGTGTGTGCGTGCGCGCCTATGTCCTGGGGAGGGGGGCCCTATAGCCCTGAGGCCCTGACCCCTGACCCGGCCTTCCTCCCGCTGCAGGCTTTCTCCCGAGAATCATCAAGGCCGCCCCCTCCTGCGCCATCATGATCAGCGCTTATGAGTTTGGCAAAAGCTTCTTCCAGAGGCTCAACGGGGAACGGCCTCGGGGCCACTGAGAGGGCGAGGAGAAGACCCTGCGCGGTGTCGTGTCCTCCACGGATGGGGAGAGGGCAGGAGGAGACCGAGCCAAGTGCCTTTTCCTCAGCACTGGGAAGGGGTTTGCCCCCTTCCCTCCACTAGGAGTCTAGGGGTGCTGCCCCCCCGGGTGCCCAGGCCTCCTCCAACAGCTTTCTTCCTGCCGCCTCCCTTTCCTGAGGATGGCACTGTCCCACCCCCAGGTTCAAGACCAAATGTGCTTAGCTCCCTGCCCTCCCCGCTCCCCTGTGTTTCCCTGTGTGTTTGCTGTAGCTGAGCCTGTGCCCAGGAGCCAAGAACCTCTGGACCTGGCTTAGTGTCCCCCATTCATTCCTGCTGTCTAAAGATGGTGCACCTCTGTTCAGTGTC